GATATTAATATTAATTATTAACAATATATCTAAATATATCCAATATAATATAAAATATCCTAGGCTGACAAACCGTCTCCGCTCAGAATCAATTTTCGTATGCATTATGCAATGATATTTATATCATTGAATTCAAATTTAACACCATCCATTATAGTGGTCAGTGATCTACTTGTAACCTACAGTAATGCAGAGCAACACGAACTTCCAGTTATTTTGAAAAAAAATTAATAAATTTCCCGTTTTGTTTAGTTATAAAAATAGAATTAGATGTTGAGTTTTATTTTGAACAATGCATTACCCACTTAGACAAATTAATTGTAGAATTCGAATTCCTTAAATAAATTTGTTTAATTATCCTATGGCTGTTGGAAATAAAAAGCAAGATACTTCACTTCAATTAAAAATAATATGTTAGTTGTAAACAGGGCCATATTTATTTACAACAGAGATTGATGCGTGATTTTCGAAAACACCACTTGTTGAAAAATATTCACTTAATCACTTTTACGAGATTATGCATTGAAAATATTTTCCATGTTTGGAACAACTTACACAAATTATGCAACTGTGGACTGTGATTATTATTTCTACAAAGCATTGTTTTAATATATGTCGAGTGTCGAATATAGCGAAACAAACATTTTTTGATAAATACAGAGTATAATACTTTATGACTATGATGATATGCGATAAATTTTAATTAATCCATTAAAATATTAAGTCATAAATTGATTGTGTCCATCCGATTATTTTATTATGTTATCCATTGTTACAATTAATTTATCTAGTGTTTTAGTTAAAGTCGCTATTTAACCACATACCATTCAATATTTGCCTTACATTGTATATTAATTAATTAATTAGTTAATTTGTCCAAATATATTAGATATAATAATTATAAAATAATATAGAATAAATAAAATAATTATTACTGAAAAATGTATGAATATGACGTATGCAGTATACATAAGAGAATAAACTAAATACTGTATTATAGTATAGAATGTTTAAGTTTTACAATGTTATGTTTTTTGGGTTTGATTGTTTCATCTACACCAAAGCGGCACCGGCCACCAGCCACAATGCGAAACGAGCTACCACGTTATTATTGCAGTAGGCTTGCACAGTGCGACGTATACCCGCATGTAGTGGGTCGTGGCGGTCTTTTTTCACTGCATTTATTTATCGGTGTGCGCCCAGCTTAATTCTGCATTTTAATTATGATAAAATAACTGAAATTATTGATTAAAAAAACTTTTAGGAATACATCGTAAGTATTAATCACATTATTGCGAGATTTTTCTTTCCACTATGGTTAGGTTCAGCTAAACAACAACCAAATCTCAGCTGAACAAATTTTGAAGTCTTGAAAACTTTTCGGGTTTTACTAATTGTACGTAGGTACATGAAATATTTATAAATAAATATCGAACGATCTTTGGCTGCTATCTTTAAGAATTGTATAAATGAGCCGCGTGGTAGGTATGCAGTAATCACAAAATACAACTCGATACGTACCCTATTATCTTAATAGCCCAATAATATTATAGGTAATGATAAACATCAGACCTCTGGATAGACCTTTTAGATTAAACGGACAAAAAATGGGTTTTAACACCAAATAAGAGTCATTTTTGGAAGCTTTTGTTAGTTTTCTAGAAAATAGCGAGAAATTACCAACAACTTCATGGGATAGAATCTTATGAGTGTGGACTGTGGACATCTTAGGAATGGTTAAATGGTTAAATGTTGAACTTTATAGTTAAGATGATGTAATTTCCCTATTCGTTTTCTTTCTTTGGCCCACGCGCAACATGGTAAATTTGTGTTAGCAGAATCAATCTAGTGTGGATGGCTTTAGTATTAGAATGAATTGACCTATTATCAAATTTAAAGTTGACATCATAATTGATGTGTTTGTGTGTCAGATTTTTACAATATTTTAATTTAAAGCAATATTTGAGCATTTTTTAATTCTAATATTTTTTCACACTCATAACTTGTATAGTAACTGAAGTATTTATTGTAAAAAAGCCAATTAACAAAGTACAAACACAGATAATATTCTTAATTTTAAGTCTTAAAATAGGTAAATACTAAATTAAATTCACTCTAATACTAAATCTAAACAACACTAGGTAGGGTCTACTGAGCAGAAATATGCTATGACGCGCATGGCTGCATGGGTGAGAGAGAAAACAAATAGTGCGCTAACGGTGATGATCTTAATGGTAAAGTAAAAGGTGAAACACAAGAAATTTAAAAGCCTGAACAATTTTTTGTACTTTTTAGAAATTCTAAACTTCATATTTTCATAATTTATTTATTTGAATATTTAATAGGTAGGTGTAGTGGAATATTTTTAACACTTGACAGTGATCATTTTTTAACTCAATATAAATTATATGATTTTAATTTCAAAGAATAGATGGGTACATGGAAATTATGAAAATGTAATACAACTTTCAAAGTCAATCAAAGTTAATCATATGCAGAGCTCAAAAAGCAGAACCATGTTTTCTAGATATATTTAAATTTAAAATAATTTTAAACATCATTACCTACTCAATTTATGCTGTTTGCGAGTGTTTAAATAGTTGTTTCCACACAAAATATTTTTCCCAAATAAGGTACTATGCTGTGATATTAATAACTAATAATAAATTTTCCAAATGTTTTTGGTTATCACTAGAACAAAATACAAAAATTATATTAAATTTATTTATTCTAAAATTTCAAAAACAACTATCCACAAATTGGAGGCATAGCTTATGAGACATTTAAAAATTTAAATTTAAATTATATCCTAAAAGGTATAAGATAAAATCAGCATATATTATACTAAAATATACTATATTATATATATATGCTTCATCTATTAGATTAATGTTTAGGATGCATAAATTTATCATTGTTTTAAAAATAATAAAAAATAATAATACAATGATAACGTGCAGAGAGACAATTAATACTCAACTGCATCATGTCTTTGCCAGTTTTTCAAATTAAAGAATACTTTGTGGGGGACGGAGTGGCCGAGGGGGCATATTTCTTCGGGAAAGTCACGGGGTCCGGAGAACAAGTGCTACCACTTTTGGCAACAAGTTACCATCCACCACCCAAGCATGGCAAATACCTACGGGTGTTCAAATCAAAAATTCTGCCAAAACAGACACACAAGTGTTTCTCCCCCTACCAAAAAAAACCTACAAGCAAAAAACAAAAAAAATAGCTAATTGCCTTAGTATCCGGGCTCAAGATCAATAAAAAAAAAAAAATACTTTGTTCTAATATAGTTGAATTCAAAACAGTTTTGATAGATACCTACCTAATAAAATAATAAAAATGTCACTTTAAAATATAATATTATACAAACTATTTAATACATACAGATTGTAGGGCTAACTCAAAAAAATAGTTTGATGAGCGACAAAAATTTTTTTTAAGGTGTTAATAAACATTATTTTGTATGTATATTTAGTGGCTAAAATTTAAGTTTAAATAAGTATTATATTTTTCTAAAATGTTATAATTAAATACAACAACAAACCTCTTGATTTGGAAGGTACCAACCCCCTCCCTCTATCTTACCACAGAAAACATGCACATTTTTACAGTTCAAATTTTTTTAGAATTGATTTGTGATAGGTACTCACGTAAATTATAATAATGAAATAACCAAATATCCAAGACTATTATACATCAATTAAATGCTAATAAGAGAACAAGTTAATGAAATACTTTAATCTTCATCTAATGCCGTCTAATGCAAAGCAGTTTGTTAATTTTAATAGATACACAATTATTAAAAGATAGACCATAGACCTAGTTAATAGGTATATGAGGTAGACACAAGTTACCATACTTCCACAAATTGCTAAGTATACTTTCATTCCGAGTTCTTAATAGTTGTAATAGACAAATAACAATACTTTAATTTAAAATAACGTATGATAAATATATAAAGTTACATTTTATATTTTTATTTATTTAACAAGTAGTACCTACCTATACTGAGTAATATCAACTTTCAACTGACTTTCATTCATAAAGTCTTTTACTTATATTAAACTCCTACACCGCCAACAAAATTATTTACATATGACACACCTTATAATTATTATTATTTTAAAATTTTAAATTACTATCAGCATTTACTTAGATCTCAGATGTACCTAACACCTAAGTTTATTCCAATCTACATATTTAGGTAGGTACTATAAATAATCTTAAAATAATGGCTATATATTATTATGGAACAAAATTTTAAGAATACCTAACTGAATACACTTATAAGTTATAATTAATGTACATACCTATTAGAAGTTATTACAATAATAACTATTAGGTACCATAATATTTTTAATCTATTCTTATGTATTTTTCAAACTAAAAATTAATAAGCAAGTGCCTCGGTAAGAACTTAGTAAATAATATCTATAATTATATAGATATACACAGATATCTACATATTATTAAATAGACAGTTTATTTTAGGAGTTTATTACACAGATGGAAATATATTATGTCAATAATTTAAATTCTTATAAATCCAAACAAACCTACCCAATATGGCAATCTTTATAATACTCAAACTAGGTACCTAATAAACAAAAATTATAGGTAATTATATTTATAAAAATTTGTTTTTATAGGTAATTATATTTATAAAAATTTGTTTTTATAGGTAATACAATATAGGGACTTTAGATGAATTATAATATTTATGTGTAGTAGTGTAGACTGTAGATAGTAGATACTCGGTTACAAATGTATGATGTTATTTAAATATTTTGAAATTACTTAGGTATTTTGTTTTTATTCTAGTATCTAGCAGACTAGCTAGGTATTTATGTTTACCAGAATATTAATCGAGAATTAATCAATCAACTTTTAAGAAACTGAGTAAACATCATCAATCTAATCATAGTATTAAAAACACATTAATAAATAATAAATATACTTTTGTTTTCTATTTACAAAAAAATATAACATACCAAGACTTTTGTGAACCGCCTTTCCAACTCACTCTTGTCTGGCATCGGTATTTTAGTCCGAATACTCGCTCGCAAATTATGAGTCCTGGGCAATTCTACAGGCAAATGAAGCTGATGCTGAGGAGTGGAAACCGGCGAACTGTATTCGGGCTTACGGGTTTGTATGTTGCCCATTTTCACGTCATCCAATTTTGGTTGCGGCACAAAAAACTTTAAACAACATAAAACTCTCGCCTCGTCACCATTCCGCATTTAAAATCGATGTGATGATTTTCACTGAATATTTAAAACGAAAAACATCAACTTAAATGCAACAGGTGCAAGTCGGAACATATGGACCGCCACGTACATGAGAAAATTGAAGATCACATAATTATATTTCCACAGAACGTAGCATTATTGACACGATATTAATGAGCCTGTTGCAATTTTACTTAAAAAACAAAAACTAAACATAAAAAAAACAACAAAAAAACAGAAATTCGAATTTTCTAACACACGGACGAAAAGCAGCGACAATATCACCCGTCCGCTCGCGAGTACTGACTACTGAGTGACTGAAAACGATAGGGTATAGACAACAATAATATTGTGTAGCGTAGCGGCTAGCGGCAGTAAACGCAGTTGTACTCGGCAGTCGGCAGTTGTAGTAAATCATAAGGACGAAACGAGATGGCAGTTTCTGTCTTTCTGATCAATGCAGTGTTGCCTGATCTTCGTACCACGAAACACTCCGAAACGACGTTGGTGTATAAATATTCGAATGGACGCAGTGCCGCAACTATATAGTAAGGGGCCCGTGTGCGATATTTTTTTTGGGCCCCTTCCTAAATTAATTTTTATTGTAAGTATTACAATCTATAAGTGCCAACATTTTTAGGTTTTATGTATACTAACATGTATATATTTTTTTTGGTTCCTACATTTTATTCAATCTGTTTGAAAGAGAACAATAAGAATTATTAATGGTATAGAATAAGCTAAAATAAATAACTGATTGTTTAAATAAATATCTTATTGCTCTTATTATAGTAAGTATAAAAATTAACAGCCTTGCCTAAATTTTTAAATGACTTTTTATTATAAGGTTTTAATAAACCCAAAATTTAAAACTACACAATTTTTTTTAAACAAAATATTCAATTTTAAATGTAAAAAATTCATTTTTCTGGCTTTTGTGTTTGCAAAAATATTTATTATTATATTGTCTACATCTATTTCAGAAGTTTGCAGCCTTTCAATATTAAGTAAAGCCAAGCTTGATAATCTATCTTGTGAAATGGTACTACGTAGGTAGTTCTTTATGCGTTTTAGTTTTGAAAAAGACCTTTCAGCAGAAGCAGAAGTGACTGGCATAGTTATGAATATCATTGTAGCCGTAAATACATCAGGAAAAATAGTTGATAGATTTTCTTTTAATATAAATAATGATAGATCTTTTATTGTCATCTTTTTAATGTCACTGTTATTAGTGGTATTATCCTTTGAAAGAAAAAAATCTTGAAGACTGACTATTTGACGCGTGAAGTCACTACTAATATCGTCACGGTACTTTTCAATAAAATCATAAGTTGACTTAATTAAAAGTTAATTTATTTACTTAACCTTAAACAATTAAACACTAAACAATTAACTGATAAATGATGATACTCAGAGCAGTCGTTAGTTACTACTTTACTAGTACCTAAGTCAATATTAAGCTCAGTGCTAAGAACATAATAATTAAAAAGTAGGTATCGTCAATATTCATCATTAAAATTACAAAATATATTTTATATTTATACCAAAACCAGCAACTCAAACAGTCGTGGTCGTCGTATCAGTCGTATCATATTGACATTTTAATAGTTTATAAATAAACACTAATAACATTACTTATATTATGGCGCGTCGTCACTCGTCAACCGTTGTTCTTCCGACAATTCGACAAACAACGACCCATAGAGGCATAGTCGCATAGACGCGATAAAAATAGATGTTATGGAAAAATTGATAGTACCATTGATCATATAATATACAAAAACGTCAAAAACCTACCATCCTATTTTAACATAGGTACCTACTTATCAAATATTAGTATACATACAACTACATTAATGTTTAAACTTAAAAAAAAAAATTATTGTGAGTAATTAATTTTGCGTTTTTAGACAATTTATGTGTTTGCTCCAGGTTGGGCCCGGCCCCGGGGCCCCCCAAATGTATGTAAACCTTGGGGCCCGTGTGCGCGGCACGCTCTGCACACCCGGTTTTTGCGGCACTGAATGGACGCTTTTTACGGTGAAAGGAAGGTATATTATAATAATAAAATAGGTATATAAAATTTAAATATGTACGCGTACGTCTATATTGTATATATTATTTATAATATAATATTATAAATTACAATTTATATTGTATTGCAAACGTATCTAATAAGAATACATGTACAACCATAGGCGTGCGCAGACCTGGATTTCGGGGGGTTCCTAGTTTCCTACAATATTTTTGGGCCCTTTCCTTAACTTGGGCCCTCTCGTAACAAGACATGTACATTGTACATAATAATACATATTTTAGTAAATTATATTGTACAAATAAATATTACTTACTTAGTTACATGTTTATTTAACATTCTAATACAACAGTTATAGATTTATAATAATATGCGTCTATTACTTAAATTATTAAACTCATTAATAAGTAATAACTAAATCTACTTCAACATTAGAGGCCATTTCTTGTTCCGTAAAAAGTAAAATTAATGATTCCAAACAGTATTGGGTCATGATACTTCTGAATTTACTTTTCACAATATTTAATTTCAAATATAACTACCTGTTCTCATGAACAACTTGTACAATGCTAAACATCAAATAAATATTAAATATTTTAGGGCCCCAATTAAATGTCAGGGGGTGCCCAGGCACACCCGGAACACCCCGTGCGCACGCCTATGTGTACAACTATGAATTTGCAACTTTTCAAGTAGGTATTGGTGTTTTCAGCGAATGTGTTCTAAGTATAGTGTTGATCGAGGATAATCATATTAGCAAAGAGACATACATAATACATATTATATAGGTACCTATTTTACAATCGATGTAGGTAGAAGAGGTACCTAGTAAAGAGACAAGAGTAAACTTTAGAATAACATAATACTATTGTCTATTATGCAACACCTTGCATTTATATATATATAATTTATATACATAAGTATTATTCAGTAATATAATATTGTGAGGTGTATAATACAATAATTATCATACATTACATTTATAATATATAGCCATATATGTATACTATTTGTTACGCCTATTGGGGTTGTATTATACTTTCCTGTAGTAGCTGGTATATAATATTATATACTATAACATTATGTAATGTATAATAACTAATAAGTAACTTAACTACTACCAGTACATATGAATAATAAATTATTAATAATATAATAAATACCTAGTAAATACCTAGCATAATATTATAATATAAGTGCATTATATAATATTTTGTAGGTACATCCCTACAAATTGCAATTATTGAACACTGTTACTAGTGTTACTTCAAGAGTACCTACAACAGTTATATTATTACCTATATGTATATACGTATAGTCGTACAGGCGCGTAGCCAGGGGGGGTGTTACAGGTGTAGTAACACCCCCCCTCAACCGTGGTATACTATGTTTTATAATTTAAACCTGGACACGGGCACACGGAATTAGATAATTATTATTTTAGACCATTCTGTGTCAGTTTATCGTTGACTCGTTTCATGTACGATACAAGATATCTTTTAATGCAGAGTATTTACAACTTGTTTACAACTTCATCATTAGAGTGTTACTCTATGGTATCAACTATCATTGGGGATTACAATTTCAATACCTCGACTAGCTATAAACCGAACAAATCGTTTTAGAATTTCAACAGAATCACCGGAAGTCTATTTTAGGATTTTGATTTTTGTACCTTTTTTGGATCATTTCTGTGAGCAACTAAATGACAGATTTTTGAACCATAAATCACTATTAAAACAATTTACTTGTTTAATAAATGCAAATGAAAAAAAAAGGTGGGCAAGTGGGTGTCGCTCTGCTGTACAGTAGGTTACAAGTGGGTCACTGTATAATGGATGATATTAAATTTGAATTCAACGATATAATATCATTGTATAAGAAAAACGATTCTGAGCGGAGACGGTATGTCAGTCTATGTATAAGACATATTATATACATATCTATAATGGTATTAAACAAAAAATTGACCTATAATAGGTACCTATAATAAATTCCAAATTAATCATATCACAATATCCATTAGGTACTGGTAACGCGTTATACACCAACAACAAACCCTGATACTATCATAGATATATATAGTAGATCAGTGCCGGCGCTAGGTATTGCGGGGCCCTGGTCATAGGTAATAGCCTTTAGGTTCTCAGAGAGTAGTGAAATTTTAGCTTTTTTTTAAATCAGGATTTTAAAAAAAGTACTGTTTTTATATATAATATAGGTAAATAATTAAATTTAAATAATGCTCTGTCAATTCTTAATGAATCAAGATATTTTAATGAAACAAAAATCAAATTAAAGCTTATTTTAGATTCTGAGTGAAACGATGAATGTATTGATTTTACAATGATGTGTGTTTTTTTATTTTTTTTTTTATTTTTTTTTTTATTTTTTATTTTATTTTTTTATTTTTTTTTGTGTCTGTCATCACGTTTTAGGACAGTAAAAGTGCTTGGATTTTCTTCATCAGTAGCTTTTCTGATAGGAAAGTGAATCTAGTTGGTACTTTGGGGGGTCAAAAGTATAAATTTCCCAGTAGTTTTCACAAGCGCCGGGAAAAACAACATAAAAATTAAGGAAAAACGGGAATTTTTACGCAAAATTGGTTTTCCAAAAAATCGATTTTGGTTTTTGGTGTAACTCTGAAACAAATGAACGTATATACATGAAATTTTCACTGGTTGTTTATATTTGCATTTTCTATACACGATAACATTTTCAAAATATTTTGATTTATTTTGAACTGTTTAGGGACATTTTCATTTTCCATTTTTTTTTAGTTTTTTTTCTAAAAATATCAATTAAATTTTATTTGTTGGTTGCGAAAGCTTGAAAATTTAATAGAAGGCTCCTAATATATTGCTTCAAAGGCAGATGAAAAATATTAAAAATCCTTAGTCACAATTTTTTTTTATAAGCATTTAAAGTTCAAAAATTGACAAAATATAGGAAAATCACGAAAATTAGCAAATTATTT